GTGGATACCGCGTCCCTTTTGGCCAGAGCCCTACACAGCTCCTCGCTGGTGGTACATTCGTTCAAACATACTCCCAACACTGACGGCTGGGCGTCTTTCACTGCCAGGGCCACTGATAGCCACCTTTCATAAAATTCTCTCAGTGCCTCTCCATCTCTTTGTTTGACCTTGAACAGTGCGCCTATGGTCAGGGAGCGACGCTTCCTGCTGGCGAACTTTGCCAAAAACATTGTCGCAAACTGCTCAAAACAGTCAATGCGCCCCTCTTCGATTTGGTGGTACCAGTCGAGGATCACGCCTGGAAAGGTCGATGGGAACACTTTGCACAGGGTGGCGTTTTTGCTGTTGTAAAGCTGCATCTTGGTAAAGTACCCATTCAGATGATCATCTGGGTCCGCTGTCCCATCGTAAGTGGGGAGTGGGGGAATGCTGGTCCCTGCGGGCTCCATCAGTATGTTACGCGCCAGGAGCTGCTTCACGGGGCAGTGGTGTGATATGAGCCCCAGAATTCCTCCATTCAACCCACTGGCATCTGGCCCCCCGTGATCACGTGGGCGCCACAAGCTTGGGCGCCTCAAACACCCTGACTCACTTTCCGTCTCCGCCACTCTTTCCCTCTTCTTCGAAGTTGGGTTGGGCGTCATCCCCTCACCCCTCTTCAAGGCGTCAACCTCCCGCCGAAGCGCCTCGTCGCCTCGTCCTGATCTTCGATGATCCTAAATAGCTCATTTTTGTGACCGAGGCGCCTTCCGACCCCCGAAACATGCCATCACTTTGCTCACCTTCGTCCATTTCGGGCGTCAACCCTCTCATCCGCCCATACTATTCTTCCGTAATTTCCTCTCTCTCTTCACTCATAGGCGCCTCCTCACTCATGATTCCTTGTTATATTCCCCTATCAAGCGCGCCAATTGTTTGAGCCACGACGCCTTGCTGGAACACCCACATTCCTTCTGACTGGCGCCTGCCTACACACACGAGCACAGAGGGAGCGCCTGGGCCCGTTAGCCCTCCGATGATCAAGTTAGTTTCTTAGAGAGGGAAGTGTTTCCAGAGTAAGAGTTTTAGTGAGAGAATCCAACCTGTGTAAATGCTACCAACCACCCCTATTTATACTCACCGAGTTCGAGGTTGATCTCCTCCACGTCATTGTCTCATTTAATGCCCTGTACCCTCGTTGTCAGATACCTCAACCACCTTGTCAGGCTTCTGACGCGTGACAGGCGCCCGCAGGCGATGGACCACTTGACAGTCTTGCCTCCCTTGGTTTTAGTGTTTTGTCCTCATGCTCCCCTCACCTTACTTGGGCCTAGAAGGGCTTCACATATCCATTCACGGGCCTTGCCCCCCAATGCTGTTGCTTGGAGGCCCAGTCCACTATTCGTTGGGCCTCAATTGTAGTACCCCCAACATTATATTTTTAACATGATTTTATCATTAGATAATAAACTCTTCATCATTAGACCACACAGTACGAAATATTTGTGTACTTTTTTACAATAGTTACGTAATTACAAAAATATTATAAGAAGCTTACAGTTTTATCATAAACTTTTTATCATTAAATCACATTGTACGAAATATTTCTGTAACATTATTCTCCAACTAGTTCATAATTAAAAATATATTATATAAAACTCCCAAATTCACCATTATTTGTTTATTCGTTGCACTACACTGAGGTTATGTAATGTAAGTAGTTTTTTCTTAAACTGACTTTATTATTAGACCACACAGTACGAACGATTTGGGTACTATTAAAGTTATGTAATTACAAATACATTATATAAATCTTTCAAATTTACCATAAACTCTTTATCATTTGCGTTACACTGAGTTTTGTATGATAATTGGTTTTTACATAACAGTTTAATCAATTGCAATATTTTTTTGAAGTTGATCTTATTATTAGATAAATTGTATGAAAGATGTGTAACACTACACTATGACAGTTACGTAATTGCAAACACATTATATAAACCTTATGAATGGGTACTTATTTCTTATGTGCTGCTTAAACAAAACGTATTGTGTAACTATTCCGTAACAATTCTGTAACATAAGATTGAATGATCATTTATTATTAAGTGATTTTTTTATCATCAATTTGAAATACACAAATGTTATATAAGGTAAGTTATTCTTTTACATAACAATTTAGTCATCAGAAATTATAAATCTTATGAAGGGATATTTATATTTTATACATCACTTACACAAACATATGATGTACGTCTATCGTGATGATTAAAATGTATAGTTATTTTTTTACCGCTGCGAAGTGTAGGCCAAAATACCATAGGGTGCTAAATAACCCTTTATTAGCCCTTATACTCGCCAAGCTACTCCTTTTGTCCCAAGAAGAAGACCTTAAGCAGTTCCTGAGTTGATTTGTAGGTGAAGGAAAGAAACAACTCTCTCTCACCCTAAACTCTCTCTATTCGGTTCCCAAGGCTCCAAATGCATTTGTCTCTCCATTCTTATCTTCCTAACCGGTACCTAGCTAGGAAGGATTTGGAGGATACACTTTTTTTTGAATAAGGAGGATACACATTGTCCTCAGCCCAAAGAGAAGACATGGCTTACACACGTGTATGGCTTATAGAAAGTTGAGCTAAAGTTGTATTTGACTCATTATTACCCCCCCCCCTACTTTCCTGGATATCCTAAGGGGTCGTTTGCTTCATGGATTTGGTACAAAAAAACCAACTATCAAGGATTTAGGTACAATCCATTGTTTGCTTGCACCTTTTTTGGAGACCAAATCCGTGGGGCCCACGGATTTTAATGATCCAAATCCGTGGACCCCACGGACTTATAAATCCCACATGTTGATGTGGGATTTGGAATATGGCATAAATCCTTGATGAGATTTTACCCATATACCCTCATGCACTTTTAATATTCCAAGGTTGCCCTCTAATTTAACTATTATACATTATAATTAACAATAAATGAATAATATAAACGTTCAATTAATGTGCAAACATGAGTAAGATTTTTTATATCATTTCTTGTGTTCTAGTTTTCTTTGACCTTTTCATGGAACGTGTAATTCTTTGTTCTCCCGATTCTAATATCATAAACATGTCAAACGTATAGAAAAGGGCAGTAATGTAATTTTTGAATTCAAGTAGTAAATCCCCCACCTTTAAATCCATAATAAAAACATCCCAACAAACAAAGGATTGTTACAAATTCATGATGCTTCAAATCCTTGATAAATCCTTGGGTTTTTAAATTACAAAACCCTCATTTTTAAATCCATGAAGCAAACGACCCCTAAGTGACGAAAATTACCTGGCAAATTCAAGGGCTGGGGGAAGGGCTTGGTTAAGACAAAATCACTTAATTCCTCTCTCCTTTATGCCGTTGAGGGGAAAATAAATTAGTTATTTGGTCAGAACAAAGGGACATCTAGTGGCTTATTATGCATGCGGAGATAAAAACAAAGTTGAGACTAATCAAATTTCATAATGTAATACCATTACCTTCATTGAGGAAGGTTCCATTTTCTAAACCCTTTTAATATTCGTGTTTCATTTAGATTCCCGGTTAATGGAAGCATAGCTCTTCAACTAGTCCTCACACATATTGACCAACTCCAACGAGAAAGGGTGTGACAGTCACTAAATTACATTTTTATTATTTATTTTCTCGAGTTACCTTCATTATCATTGATAGGTTAGACTAACTTCAATCCATAAAGTCAAATTTGGCTTCCAAATAGTCAAATATGGCTTTTTAGCTTCCCAAATCTCATTTTTACTCCAACCCTACAAAAAGCTATATTTAGCTTCCCATCTCCTTTTTTCAATAAAACATACTTATTTGGTCCCTAATTTTTATATTTCACTTTAACTTTTTTATAGTTCGTTATTACTTTTGAAAACAAAATTCTTGATGTAAATTTTTTAAAATTCCGAAACAAAAAAATATTTGGAACATTAGTCATTCATTTGTTATCGTTAACTTTGGGAACACTCTAAATATAACATTTTTTAAGGCCGTTAAAATATGATGGCTACAATGTAACCGTTGTTTCGTCACTACATGAATGATTTCTCATTTAAATTTAAAATACATTCAAATAGAACAACAACCAATCACAAAGGAAAGAGAGAAAAACAAAAAAATGGTCTGTGCGGGGCCACTTTACTCCAGCCATATTTGGCTTTCCAACGAAAAGATGAGCTATATTTGGCTCCCAAAATGACCATACCCATATTTGACAGCCAAAAATTTTGTGGGTTGGAGGCCCAAAAAAAAGCTAAATTTTGCTTTTTAGCTCTTTTGCTCCATGGGTTGGAGTTAGTCTTACAATTTGATCCACATATTTTTGTATATGTGAAGAAATTCTCTTGGTGGGCAGGTATGAGTATGGGTATGGGGAGGCTAAAACCATACCCATTAAACCTTTTGCGGGTTTACCAATACCCGTCAAAAGCCAATCAAAGCGGGAATTCCCTGTGTTGACTGTATCGGGGGCGGTTGGATACCTGCGGCTATAGGTTTGATTGGCATCCCCAATGGTAACAACTCTAGGCCATAAATTTTGAGGAAGTCATTTTTCAAGCGTACATTATGGTTATCATTAACCATACACAAATATAAGCTAATCGGGTGGGTATAATTCAAAACCGAATTTTTTTTAATGGGTATGGATAATATCCACACTCAAATATTATGAGCAGTGAGTGGGAATGATTTTTTCACTATCTCACCAATAGAAGGGAAAATAGAAACAAGCAAGATAAAATCAAAATTAATCAAGTTGAACAAAATTTTCTCACGCCAAATACTGCATCGCTGGTGAACAACTTTACTAATTTGCAGCTCTATGCATAATCTTTCACCCATAGCAGCATTTCAGGCATCGTTGTCTTTCTCCTAGCTGGCCCACCATAGGCTGTGACGGGATGAGATGCTAACCATTTATTTAGTTAGCATCGTAGTAACCAATCCCATCTCCGCCCCTTTATACTTCCGCAAATCTAAGGGTAGTTTGGTTAGAAGGGTATTTTGCGCATGTCCACAGCTGATCCCAACTTTACCATGCGGTATTTGAGGGATATCCAACCGCCCTTCCCTTCCGCCATTTCTTTTTCAGCTTCCCTTTTCCTCTCTAATCTCTCTCTCTCTCTCTCTCTCTCTTCACCCGCAGTGTGATCGATCAGAACATTAAAAGGCCTCGCACTCTATGTCGTCCTCTCCCTCGCCGTCGTCCTCGCCTCCCTTGCAGGATGTCCCCGTCATCACCCTCGCTTGCCTTACCGTCGTCTGCTTCAGTCTCCCCTGCACCGCCCTTGCCTTCATTGTTGGCTGCATCAGCATCGCCTCTGCCGCCTTCGACTATTGTTTGGAGGTCTTTGGGTGGAGACGTCCGAGTGGGTTGTATGTTAAAAAGGCATTCGTTGGGTTTAGAGTTTTAGATCTGGGCTCTTTCTTGCTTACTCTTTGTTTAGATATAGATTAGTAGTGATTTTCAAGACTAGTAGTTTGCAAAGGTAGTAGTGTTGTTTCTTCAGATGTAATAGTGTTCTCCTTGAGTAATTTTTTTGGAGTTTGAATCGGTAGCGATTATCAAGATTATTAGTGTTTTTTGTTTTTGTTTTGAATATATGATTTTCTTATTTAGTGAAGATCTGTTATTCAGAATTTTCGGGTGGGTGTACGATTTTGGCTCCAATCTCTTTTTTGTTTGTTTGATCAGAGTTGTATGGAGTTCTGTCTTTTCTAGAAAGCGCGTTAGTGTACTTCAGATCTTAGTGTGTAGTGATTCTGAAGGTTAGTACTGATTCATGATTGTATGCGGAGGTATAGTAGTGTTTTTAATTTCAGTAGTGATTTTCAGTTCGGTTAGTAGTGTTTTTAATTTGAGTAGTGAAAGTTCGTTAGTCTTGTTAGTAGTGATTTTAATTCTATGTACTAATAGTTCTATTACTAGTTATCACAGTCTAGTAGTGATTTTCAGTTTTGGAAAAACAATATTTGTAGTCATTTTGTACCAAACCTTTGTAGTATAAGTTTCCCAGTAGTAGTCTTTTGCTGGACTTGCAGACCTCGTCGGCGTTATACTTCATTCAACAATCAACGCACTCAAAATACCAAATAATTGAAAATAAACTCTGCCTCGGTCAGAAATAGAAATCATCTGATATTGCAATCCCTACAAATCCGCCCACTTCGACGAAAACTGCATTAATTTTGCATTTAATTATTATTCATGTGTTATTCATAATCTACCCTTTTATATTTGTACCCATTAAATTTGAAACAAAAGTGGACGGTTAAGATGCTAGTTAGAATGGTGCTAACTTCCCCTAGTTTCTCCCGGCTATGACGGGTACCTCTTCAGTCTTCACCAATCTAGCACAGGAAGAGCTCCATCCGGCCCATATTTTGAAATACGGCCCCAAGCCCATTTTTGGTTTTACGGCCCTTGTCCATGCTTTCTTTGTTCCAAGAAGCTAGTAGTAAGCTGATTGATCCAGTCCATCGAACCTTATCGTCGTGCCTGCCTGGATCTACTGATCTCTCGTTCCCTGGCCTCCGCATCGAAATCGGATATGATTATGCATTGAGGGACAAACCAATCCCTGAAAACAGGGCAAAACCCTAATTCGCTTCCAGTTCTTCCAAGGGCGCGAAACTACCAATCAGTATGGCGCTTTCTGGATCTGCTGTCTGCTACAAAGTGAGTTATCCTATTGAAATCGATCAGCTTACTCTTCCCCTATGCGCTTAATTTCTTCAACCTAATAGCTTTCTGCTGAGTAATTTTGAAATCGCAGTTCATGGTTGGAGAATGTAAGGGGGTTTCGCTATGAAGCTGTTAACTCGCTCGGTCCTTACTCGTGAATAATGAATAGACCTTCTTTACAGGTGAATTCCATTGATATCGGCGACATTACCCGGCGTCCGTTGTTGAGCTTAGAGAAAAAGCTTCATGGCAGACACCCGGCTTCCGGTGGAGAATGCCGCCCGTTTCTGCGTACGACCAATGCAAGGCAGCCTTTTTGTCCTGTTGCAGCTATCCCTGCTTCACCTTTGCGGCGGTTATCATGCTTCAGACCCTGTCGAGTAGCGAGCGGGGAATCCGAGGGTGTGGTTCGAGGTGGTGAAAGCTCATCAACGGACGATGAACAGACCTTAACCCAGGACTTGCAGACTGCGATAGAAGAAGAGGACTACGCACAGGCTGCCAAAATCAGGGACAGCCTTAAGTTGCTACAGGAAGACAGCAAGTCGGCAGTGCTCGCTGCGAATTCCCGGTTCTACAACGCCTTTAGGAAAGGCGATCTAGCTAGCATGCAAGGCCTGTGGTCGAAAGGGGAGAATGCGTGTTGCGTTCACCCCGGTGCTAGTGGAGTTCTTGGTTACGATGATGTTATGGAGAGCTGGGAGCTAGTGTGGATGGACTACGATTTCCCGCTAGAGATTGAGCTGAAAAACGTCCGGGTTCATTTCAGAGGAGATATGGGATACGTGACTTGTGTAGAATTCATCAGGACGAAAGGAAGTAGCTGGGGAGCGCAGTTTGTGACCAATGTGTTTGAGAGAGTTGGTGGTCGTTGGTTCATCTGTGTTCACCATGCTTCACCTGTTGACCTCTAATCTAAGCCTCCCTCTCCTCTATCTCAAATAATATACAACTAGTCTCTAGAAGTAGGATTGAAGTATTGCTGCTTCTTGAATTCTAGTGTCTATTCTTTTGGTAATGTTTATTCATTCCATGGTTTGTACAAAGGACAATGAGTTTGGCCAGACACAAAATCATAGTGTGATGTGATCTAGACTCTTCCCACAGGAGAAAGGGGCGGGCACGGGGCAAATTTTGCAGTTGCTGGTTCATTTGCGAAGCTTGCTTGTTCCACGAGATCAGACGCTTTCTGGGAGCGAACGACGCTCACGGAAATGAAGAAGGCTTGAAGCAAAGATATTCGCCGATTGAATTCAACAGAGTACATCCCCTTCTCCACTTGTCCCAGGACGAAGACTGGCTTCTTCTCCTCTTTACCTCCTCCCTACATTCAATGCCAAATGTTAACCCAAAGTTTAATTGGGGAAAAAACTGAACAACCAAGGGTGATTCTGGAGGCATGAAAGAACCAGAGTGCTTTACTACCTCTGCAAAAAGTTGAAAACCATTAGATGCCACTGGGGCTGTCGCCGATAGGACGCATAGTCCACAGCCGATGTCCCACCCTCCACAATCACATGATCCGCCGGATCTCCATCTTTGGATCAACGGCCAAGGAGCTCCCTTGGCTGGCAAGCCATGTACAGCAGCTGGAAGTATCACTGTCACGCTACTACTGCATTGTTCATCGTCATCCCTCTGCTGCTTCTGCTTTAGGGCAATGTTACCACTATGTGTTCTCACCACGACAGCTCCAAGCTCTCGACCTGACCTTGACTTGGTTGATGCCTCCCCTTTCTCCAAGCCAAACAGAACATGCTCACTAACAAACTCGTGGCCGGTGAGATTCTCTCCAGTTAAGCCCAGCAGGGGAGAAGAGTTGATATTCATTTGGCCAATCACATTGTACGTGTAGTCACATCCTCTTTTGTTACTACCTGGGTTTAACATCCAGCCACCACTCCTTTTCTTGATTTCCTCAATCGCATAGAATGTGTAGCTGCTGCATCCTGAACTGCTCTTGCTTGGTGACGGGAGATTCTTGGTGGCTGCCAGAATGTTGGCTTTGCCATCGGCATTGTCAACCAGCAACTTGAACAGAGGAAGCCCATTTTTAACTGATACCTGCAGAATAGCCTGGGTGTATGACGCCTCATGCACTTCGCTCTGTACAGATTCTAGCTGCCTCCACTCCAAGGGATTGGGGGGATTCTCTTTCGACTTCTCCCGTTCGGATAAACGGGATGAACTCGAAGCCTTGGACTTAAAGAGTGGGTCCAATATTCTTCGCAAGGGGCTTGATCTTGCTCTGCTAGGACCACCATCCTTCTCTGCTTTAGGGATATCCAAGCCAACTGAACTTTGGGATGTCACGGGGCCAGATTTTACAGACTCATAGCCGGAGCTAAATTGTAGTGGTGTAGAACTTTCCTTTAAGCTGAAACTTCTGGTCAACCGACCTAAGTTGAAGGTGAACCGCCTGTTCGGAGAGGGATCCCTGTCTTTTCTAGCGACCCCATCGGCTGCTTCTTCGTCTATAGCATTTTGACTTTCCAAATCATATCCGTTTGTGACCTTTAAGTTTTCCAGAGATGGCGGCTTAGTAATGGGTTTTGCAGAAGACGATCCTGCGCAATGCACAGTACATGACTGTTCTCCAACCTTGCAGGGGTTGGTGCCACTGCTAGGGTCGACTCCAGGAGGCAAGGGTGCTCTTTGCTCCTCAGAAAAGCTACTTCCTGCACATTTTCTTGGTACAAGAAGAACAACTTTCTCTCCATCTTCAGATGCGGAAGCCAGAGATGATTCTTGTGATGCTCTTTCCCCTGCTTTGTTTCTCACTTCCCTGTTACCCGACTTCTTGTCCTTTGATAAGAGTGAAACATCACAATTTATGGATTTCAATGATGGAGCTCCAAAGCTGCTGGATGAGATGACCCGATCTCTTTCCACTTTTTTGTCTGAAGTTAGCATTGTTTGGTATCTCCTTTCTTCACCATATGCTGAATCAAGTGAGCTAACCAACACTTTCGGAGGGTCTTTCTGATCCAAGTCGCTTCTCTTTACCTTCTCTCTAACTGCTGGATTCATGCTATTCCTCCCAAATGAACTGTAGTTCATGCCGTTTACTTTCTGCCCGATCAAACAGCTCTTGGAAGTTGATTCGAAATCCTGAGATCGACTGAACTTATGCAAAGATGGTTTGAGAGTTTTGGAACTCCCATCAGCCTGATGCATTTTATGACTGGAGTAATGCGAAGAACTTCCACCGGCATCCACACTGAGAAAAGAAGGCGCCCGCACATTTGACATACCACTAGCTGACAATCGACTATTGCCTCCACCATGAGCGACAAGCTTTTGATTCCCCTTATACTTTTCCAAACGACCCCAGTCAAGGACTCCTACATTCAAAGCCTTATCCTGTATGTTCTCCCCTTTATCCATGCGCTGGAGAAAACCAGGCACATTCGACATGTACCTCACAAGCTCCTCACTTTGTGACCTGGCTGTCGTCCTGACGGGCCTCTGTTGGCTCTTCCCCAAGGTTTTTGAATAGATTGATCTCCCATTATTTGCAGATTGAGGGAGTTCATTCCGGACATCACCGGAAGGCTGAAAAACAGAATTTTTTCCTTTTAGCTTCTCATCATGATACTTCACAGTCTGGTTAGCTTGAACTTGGTGGTCGCTTTCCTGGTCAATCTTGGGATTTCGCCGTCTTCTTGGGATTTTGTTCACATCCAGACTCAACTGCATCTCCCTGGAAGGTTTTGAGGGATAACTACTGGGCCGAAAAGCAGGTCGTGTGTTAGCTTTCTCCATACTTTAATGTAACATGGTACCTACAACAGTATGAACAAGGGAAAGTTGAAGGCATCGGAAGCAGCTCCGCAACTCAAATTTCGAAGTACACAAAGCAACTGAGCTACCTAATGAAGTGTAAACCAGCAAAAAAATGTTTAACCAATGACGCCCTCCATCGAATTCAGCTTGTACTAGAAGACAGATTGCTAATCATTCAATCAACGGACAAAAAGGAAAGGGGGAAAAACGAGAGTCCATAGCTCCGTAGGCTTCTCGTATACAAGCCGACCATCTCCTTTCGCACAAAAAACCATATCTTCCCTGCTTTATGCTAAAACGAACTTCTGGTCATAAAGAACACAGGAAGATAGCAGAAAAAGAGCGTTTGATTAAAGGTCACGCAAACTAGAAAATAATTATGGGCAAACAGTTCTATGATTGGAAAGCATCTCTCTCCCAATTGCGCACGAATTGTGGTTCCGTTTCTCGCAGGTCTCGCCATATCCCAGGTTCGGAACACAATTTACGCCCCTAGATAGATCTAAACAGAGCTAATCCACTGAGCGAGGCAAAAATTAGGTGAAGTGATTCTGTTTGGGCGACAAGAAAATAGGTGACAAGGAAATCGTCAAGCGGCTGAATGCGCTCTGAGTTTCCAGTAAACTTCGATTCGCAAATAATGTAGGCTAAGTTCTGAAGCTCGTCTTCAACAATTTCATCGCCATTTTGCACAGTCCGTTTATTTTCTCGATAACCAAACAGGTGCAAAGAAAATACGCCGAGAGAGAGAGAGAGAGAGAGAGAGAGAGAGAGAGAGAGAGAGAGAGAGAGAGAGAGCATACCGACGGGAAACCGAGGAGAATGAGAAGGCGGTGGCTCACGTAATGGAAGGTCGCTTTAATTCGGGGGGAAGGAAGAGAGCGGATCCCGATGAAGATCCGGCGGGAGAGGAATGCAAGTCCGTTTTGCAGCAAATTGCAGCTTACAAGCAAAGTAAAGAATTCACTGCCGCTACAGAAAACAAGAGAGAAAGGAAGTAAGAAACAAGAGAGCAAAGTAAATAAATCAGTTTTGCTCTATCCACGATATCGTCGGAGCCGCAACAAATGGCACTCGATTCTTCTCTGTAACAGAAACCACAGATTTCCCGTCCCCGGTGGCCCCGTCGCTTCAGAGACCACAGAAAAAGAAAGAGAGAGAGAGAGAGGGAAAAAGAAAAAGAAAAAGAAAAGGGGGAAATGTAACGCACAAAATGAGAGAGCACGTAGGAAGAAAGGATTTCTCAACCTCAGAGAAAGAACTGAGCTCGGGGCTGCTCTCAGTCTCAGCGCAGAGCTGCCAATCCGAGTGAGAGAAAGGGACAGAGGTGAGCGAGATTAAGCGTTTCGATTTCAATCGGACGGCCCAGAGAGAGGCGATGGGGAGGGACGGAGAGAGAGCCTATTGGCTCTATTGCCCTTGCTATTGGGTCCCACAGATGCGACTTCTGCCTTTCTTTCGTTAGCGAATCCCGAAACCGCAGGATGTGGGGCCAATTATTTTGACGTCATTATATTCCCTCCCCCGCGCTTTCTTCTCTTTGTCTGAACATGTTATAAATCCTGGGAATTGGGCTGGGCCTATGTCTGAGAACTCCAGAAAACAAAAGTAGAAAACCAATTTTAGTTCTTTATTGATTTCGGATTAAGGGTGGACATGCCATTTGATAAACACAACCGAACCGAATTAGTGATGTATAAGGCCGAATTCGGTTATGACATGGCTGACAATCGGAGCTCATTTTGAAGTGAACCGACCCCAATGACCGAATGCTTAATCAAGCTGTAGTTGTAGCAATCGAGGGAAAAAAATCCAAAACTACCACTATAAAAAAAAAATTACAAAAAAGTTACACATACTCAACAATTTTCAAAAATACCACCCTTTCACACAAAACGCGCTTCGAAGGCGCGGTTCTCATTCAAACCGCGCGTTCAAGAGGCGGTTTGACCCTTCCTATCTGTCAAACCGTTGCCCCGAGGCGCGGTTTGTGCGTTGGGGAACGTAAACCACGCGCTGGAGGTGCCGTTCTAAGTGGGGTAAAAAGACGAAACCGCCCCTCCAGCACGCGGTTTCGTCCCTATATAAACCCAACCCTCCTCCCATTTTCTGCACACCAAACCCACATTCCCCCTCTCTCTCTAACTCCTCACTCTACCCACCCCCCTCCCCACCCAAAAACCTTAGAATTAGTTGTTTTGTTGGTTGCGGCTAAATTCGATCTGTCTTCAAAAAACTTTTCTTTGGTTTTCACTAAAAAACCGTCGAATCCCTGTCCGGATTCTGAAAAAATGGCCGACTTTATCCAAGAAAAGGGCATTTTCTACGATGATTATCAAGCGGTACATACTCATTTTACCCAATTGTTGTTGTTGTTATAATGATTTATTTAATTTATAAAATAATTGATTTATGTTCTTGTTATGCTATCGTAGGTTGGGCCGGATGTTGATATATACAATCAACGATATTATGTTGATCAAGGACAGATTGATCCGACTATTTTATACGATCAAGCCAATCATCGTTCAAGAGACGTTTGGAACGACCACAAGGTACATATTATTTATCATCACTTGTAATTTGTATTTTGTTAAAGTAATTTATTTGTTTGTACAATAATTTACTTAATTGTTAATCGTATTGATTATTTTCAATAATTTAAATCAATACAATACAACACTTATTTAGACTTTTTATAAAGTAATGCATGTCTAAGAAAATGGGTTCTTAAGCGATCATCATGATCCCCTCATGACCTGGAAAAATCGGGTTCTAAGCGATTCTAGGATCCCCTCTTTTTCTGTCAAAAAGACTGTGTTTCTAAGGAGATGTATACCTCTCCTAAGAGTCTTACGAGTGTACTTGTATTTCTTTAAATTATAGAAAATAATCAATACGATTAACAAAATAATATATTTGATTTTATGTGTATGTGTACAAAAAATAATTGTACTTAAATTTTGAAAATTATTTTAGTTATGTTAAAATTAATGTTTATTAGATAATGTATATTTCTCTAAAACAACCTTGATTTAATTAATATTGCATCTTATAATCATCAACTTATAGTGAAAGTTAAATTCTTCTCTAGGATGTCCCCCACGTGCCTCCGCCAGTCCATAGAAGGCCAAACAAGGCTACAAGGTATCGACCTCGCGTGCCGGAGATCAAGCCGATTGAGGCGTGGAAGGTGCCTACTCCATTGGAGGTGTGCAGCGGTGCAGGGGCGAGTACTCAGTATGATCCCGATCGAGTTTTCACTACGATCCCCGACCAAGTGCTTTCTACGACCCCAGTACTCAACATGATCCTCGCCCCAATTTCCACTACGATCCCACGCCCAGTAGCCACTATGATCCCCGGTCGAGTTTCCAATACAATCTCCGGCCCAGTTTCCAGTATGATCCCCGACCAAGTACATTTCATGACGCCACATCCTCAGCTACTTGGGCCGATGGTTCATACTCAAGTCCCCACCAAGACTTCCCACCTTTGCATCGACCACAACAACAATGGCAGTCCACTCCCCACCGTATGAGCGTGGATAGTCCTCAACCGCACACGGAGGGGCCACCTACCACAGCACCGCGGCGGCATAGCACGGACCAGCGCCCTTCTACGGTGAATAGGAATCTGCCACCACTTCCAACCCCTATTACACCCGGTGGACTAGTCACCCATCGCACAAGGAAACAGAGGGCAAATCGTCGAAATAATGCATGAGTGCGACAAGTTGTGTTTATTTCAAGTTATGTTTTGTTTAAATTAAGTTGAACCATTTGTTTTTATTTAAAAAGTTATTTTTTACTTCATCATGTAGTGTGTTTGTGCTCGTGATGTGTTTATTCAAAAAGATGGAACATTGCATCGAAGTGTGTTTATTTTGCAAATCTCCAATGTCATTTAAGCACACAAAATACAAGTACGTAACCATTGAAATTAATACACTTTGTGAAAATGCATGAAATCAATCTATGCGCCATTATCCGGGTTCACCACATCGGGCCCTGGATTTTGAGGACTTATTGGTCTGAGACATTTTCGTTTATCATGCCCTGGTACTTTGCATATGAAACACTGCCTTGGCCCTCGCGGTGGTCTTCCACTTTGATCCATCTCATTTGGAATCCTTTTTACCCGCGGGCGCCCTGTTTCCTGCCTAAGACCGATTGTTGGTATGAGGACCTTACCCTCATAAACTGGCAAGTAAGCTTCATCCGACAATGCACAGAAACTCGTACGATAACTGCTCTTTTGTGGATTGATGTTGAAGAACGGACTGACGAAATGACGAGGGTCTTTGCTCCTATGCTTTATTACAGTCATTACATGGGACACAAGGTATACCTCTACCCTGATATTTCTGACAAGAGCACTCCGTTTTTTAGTCCTAAAGTTGACGATGACTTCATGGCGATGACCCCCACGTCTCCCATCCTCCCAGTGCCCAGTCTCGACCGAATACTCGCCAGCATTTCGGTTCATAACAGTGACTTTGTGACGAGAGCTCTTCTGATTATCTTTTTCCATTATTTTTGTGGTATGATCGAAGTGTACCTTACCCTGTGCCTCCCTCTTCTCACACCAGCGGAGACGGTTGACGAACCATCCAGAATGTCATCTCAACAATTGCAGAGATGGGGAGTGCACGACATTCCCTGTAGACGTTGTTGATACTCTCGCTTGAGTTCGTTGTGGCAATACCCCATCTGGTACCTCCGTCCTTATGAAACGTCCACATTGCAAGGTCATGTTGATCAAGCCACTGCGCACCTTCAAGGCATAGCTGACGGATATTCTGCATCTTCTTTTTAAATTTCTTCTCTTGGTAAGCGATAGCTAATGAATATCAAACAAAAGCATAAGGTAAGCAAGACCGACCTTACCCTCAATACAAGTACACTCGTAAGACTCTTAGGAGAGATATACATCTCCTTAGAAACACTGCCTGTTTGACAGAAAAAGGGGGGATCCGAGGATCGCCTAGAACCTGATTTTCCCAGGAAATGGGAGGATCATGATGATCGCTTAAAACCCCATTTTCTTAGGCATGCATTACTTTATAAAGAGTCTAAATAACGGTTGTATTGTATTGATTTAGTCCTCGTTTTATCCAGTTGCCTCCAGCTCGAGTCTTGGTACTCATGGAGGGGATGATCTTCGTATAATACACTCCCACCGTGGATACCAGATGTTTGGCCATCTCCAGAATGATCTACACCGCCTTCGACGGCCTCGGTGTAAACGAACATCTCCGCATGCTTAATTTTATTGGTGGTCAGAAATGGGATCATGGCATCAACGTCCTCCTGAGTGGTAAGGAGGAATTCCTCATTCCACAGCGACCCGTCATGTCTGTTTGGATATCGATACACCATTTGATCAACTCTTCTAGTGCCATCCATGCAGGTAATCTGAGTGCACATTTGATGGAGCTCTTCAGGCATCGGTCTCGTACGGACCGTCATTTTATAAAAATTGCCGCCGACGTAACTTACACCCTTTTCGGTCTCTTCCGTGTAACCATTCCACCGCAACCCAAGCGTGAACCTTTGGATTTCCATCTGCAATAAACCTGTAATTAAGTTACTAACATAAAATCACAAAGGACAATGAAAAGTAATACAAAACAAACTTACGAATTAACGTTAATCGCAAAAACTAAATAATTTAAAGGTGCACAACTTAAATTTGAAGAAGAAGGAGGAGGAGTGAAGATTTTGAGTTCTCTGGAATAGCCTTTTATAGGCGAATTTTACAGTACAAACCGCGAGAGGGGGGGGGGGAGCGGTTTTAGGTCTGCCATTCAGCCCACCCCCTGCATGCCGACATGTTGGATGTCGGGTGACCAGGCACAAACCGCATCTGGGGGAAGCGGTTTACTTTGCACAAACCGCCAGTGGGGGAAGCGGTTTATGTCTCCACATGGTAAACCGCGCCCTAGTGGTGCGGTTTACCAAGCCGACATATAAACGCTCCCTGACAAAGCGTTTTGTGGTAGGCATCCATATAAATCGCGCCTTCGAAGAGCGGTTTTACCTGAAAAGGAAAACCGCTTGTTGACCAGGCGTGTCTAATGTAAACCGCAGTCTGGTGGTGCGGTTTATATATTAACCGCCCCTTAGAGGCGCAGTTTTTATAAACGGTGGTATTTTTGGAAATTGTTGGAAATGGGTGGTATTTTTATAATTTTTTTTAACAGTGGTAGTTTTGGATTTTTTCTGCAATCGAGCCCCAACCATCTTCTGGCAACCCATCCCATCCCTAATACAAGCCAACCCTCTCCTAGCTAGACAACCCAGCCCATACCAACCTAGTTTTAGAATCCCTTCCATAGCGAATCCTTTCTTCCTCTACTCTCAAACGTTGCTAGCAGCCCTAAAACGAAATATCCCTACCCTAATGCGTCATCGATAGTCCTTTCATCTCCATCAGCCGCCCTAAACACCAGAGAGGCA